TTCACATGGTTGTTAGCCGTCAACAAATGGAAAATTATGGTTAGTTCGCTCGAAGCGAAAACATAACCATCCTCTTGCTCCTCCATTAGTTGCTCACATATTACTATCACAGAGGAAGATAACTAGTGTTCAAGCACATGATATCGACATAGTAAATGATTAAGGAATACGTCCTAAATCTTCTTTTGAGTATGCTAGTCGACAAGTAGGTGGTTGAGCTAATTTGGGTTTTACTATCATAGATTTTAAAAATTATCTCTGTGACAAAATGAAAAATGATTTGAGGCGGGGGGAAACAAGTAGCATATTAGATTATTTTGAGAATCGGAGATTAGATGATCCGAATTTTCACTTTTCGATTCAATTAGATGATGATGACTTGAAAGCAAGCATATTTTGGGCTGATGCTAAAATGAAGATTGACTACGATGTTTTTGGAGACATTGTGTCATTCAACACAACTTATAGGATAATCATAGGCAAATGTGATTTTTGGAGCTTCCTTGTTATATGATGAGACAATCAAGTCATTTCAATGGTTATTTGAGAGATTTTTAAGAGCTATGTCTGGGAAAAAAACCAAAGTTAATCATCACATATCAAGATCCCAAAATTGCTAAGGCAGTTTCACTAGTAATGCCAGAGTCATATCATCGGTTATGTATATGGCATTTAGAAAAAAATGCTTGTAAACATCTTAACCATGTCTTCCGAGATCAAGAATTTTTTAGCAGTGATTTTGGTAAGCTTTTCCACCATTATGAGGATGAGCAGGATTTTTTAAACGCTTGGGATGCCATGTTTAAAAAGAATAATCTCAGGCAGAACGAATGGTTAAAGAAGACATTTGACTTGAGAGAGAAATGATCAACTGCATATGGAAGACACTATTTTTCAGCTGGCATGAGAAGTACGCAACTAAGTGAGAGTCTCCATGATCCCTTGGGGAGTATTTGAAATCTGATTTGGATTTGGTATAATTTTTTAAGCATTTTTAGAGGGCACTTGATGACAAGCAATACAATGAATCGAACGCACTTTATGACATGACACATCGAATCCCAATTTTAAAGGTTGATGTTCCATTACTACGGCATGCGAGAGATGTTTATACATCAACCATATTTGATATGTTTGAAGACAAATGGGAGAAATCATTATTTATCACCATCAAATATTACAATAAAAGATGAAATGTTTTGCAGATATAAGGTTGGCACATGTGAAAGTACGAGGGAGTATACAATTACTATAAAATCATCTGAGACAATGGTTTTTTGTGGTTGTCAGTTATTTGAGCTGCCATGCATTAAAATTTTTGGATGTCATGGATGTAAAAGAAACAATCCCCAGCAACTACATTATGAAAAGATGGACAAAAGATGTTACTGCCATGAATCCTATAGATATAAATAAAGACAAGGAAGATATTCTTGTAGCTTCTTCAACTCATGCTAAAAATCCACAAGAAGGTAGTAACGATGTTGAAGTCTTTGTAGATAGTGCAAATGTTACAAAGGTGATGGGTTTAAAGAGGAAAGAGTCAACATATCGTTGAAACACTCGACCCAAAAGTTTCTTGGAAAAGACTTCAAAAAGAAAAAGGAAGCCCTCATCGACACCAACTGCTCAATCTCATGTAGTGCACCCTGTGAACAATCGCACAAGTTCATATACCCACTTTCAATCGATAGTGAACTACAACTCACCTGTAAAGTTATCAATTCATTATCCGTAATGCTTTCATTTACTCTTGTAGTTTGATGGTAAAAACTTTTTGATTTTTCCATTCTACAAACTTATAGGTATCAGAGACAACAAATTTTAGTCCAACGTGCACTTCCCAACTATCTCAAGTGTTGTCCCAAGGAGGCTTATCTCAACTTCTAAGGGTTAGTATCCATCAAATTAAACACCTATTTTTTTATTATTTTTTTTATAGCACACTATATTTTGTTATGCACTGGTAACAGGAGCCTTTATACTGGGACTCAAATGGGGATTCACAGGTGTTGAATACTATTCAACAAAATCAGGTATTTAAGTGCACATGTTTTCCTTTGACCAAAGAGTGGTGGAGAACTAGAATATTTTTTTTTATATTGCATTAGGGATATTTTTTAATTACATCTTATTTTTGTTGCAGGCAATGAATTTAAGTTTCCAAATGCAGGGTCCAGATGAAGGTCACAATGTATTGTTCAAAGAAAGCTGAAAATGTTATACTGGTGGCTTTTAAGCAATTTCAAGGGAAACATGAAGTGCCCCTTTTTATCTTTTCCAGTTCTGGCCCATTAGCATAATAGTAGGTTGGGCATGGTTCTTGGTTCTTTGTTCTTCGTATTATTTTTCCCAATAATTGACAACATTTTAATTTGTTTTTATCTTTTCCCCTACTGATTTCATTGTACCATGGGACTTCACTATTTAGGATTCATTGGTTTTGACATTTTTTTTCCTTTGGCAATAAGCTCTTTTTGATTTCTTCATTAATTTTAACTATTATTGAAATAAAATTCTCTTGTTTAGTATTAACCCATTAAATTGTTCATATTTTAGCTTTTAATTTGTATTTATTTATTGCAATAATCGGCAATTGGCTTTTCAAATGAATTTTCGATGTTCATCAAAATGCCCCCTTTTGAGAGTTTTTACAAACAACTCATGAGCAAAAAAATATATCAGAGGAACTAGAGTCGGAGATCCAGAAACACCATTTGAGAAATAGCACGGAAAAAATGTAATGAATTAGTAGAAGAGGAAATAGAATTGATGATTTAGGTTTATTGGCAAAAGAAGATTTGTTCACTTTGGCATCAAACAATTCAACCATACATCGCTATCCCTTCTTCTCGTTCGGTAATCTGCATTGAATATATTCTGTATACACCAAGATGATATATAGAAATGAAGAGGAGAAGAACTTGCTGAATGCAAACAAATATGAATTATGGTGCAGTAGATATGCAGATGGGATGAGTCAAATATTTTTGAGAACGTGGTGCCAAAACTCAAGTCATCGCTTTGTTGTCAACGTTTATCAGCCAGCCATATTATGTTTTGCTAGGTTTGTTTAATGTTAACTATAGTTAAGGACTTCAATTGATTAGAAATAATCTTGTCCATTGAATTTGTTTTTCTTTTTTTTGAGATGTCCGATAAATTATTGAAAGATACTTGAAAAAAAGTGTAATGGAGGGGATCTGAATCCCTTTTAAGGAACGAGAGATATTTTCTCTCTCTTCCTTTGATTCAATCTTGAACTCTTAACATTTTCTCAGGTCTCTATCTGTCGATCAATTACACGCTGTTCGAGGAGTCTGTCAAATGGGTATTTCTTGAACTCTTAATGCGCTGATTCACTCGATTCATAATAGTTCTTTTTTATTTGGTTTTTTTGATTCGTAATATTTCTATGCATTCGTTCAGTTTAATTTCAGAATCTGATAATCAAACCATTCGATTTGATTATTGGTTTTTATTAGCTTTCTATAAATCTTGGTTCTTTGTTAGAGTTGGGTTCATTTTTTGTTTGGTTCGTAAAGAAGAGTAGTTTGAGGAAAACACTAGTGTTGTACTGTCCCCACCACTGGTTTAGGGTTCCATTCACTATTATATATACCTGAATTATGATTAGTTTTTCTTTTTTTTTTTTTAGCATATCACTGTTTTGATGTAGGTTTTTGGGTTTTTTTTGAAAGAAATTTGCATTTGATGACTTGTAGTTGGAGAAAACATGGTCTCAATAGAATTTACAGTTTTTCTAGATATTTGGTAATTTTTTTTTTTTAGTGCATTGTGTGTGCATTGAAATTTTGTTCAGCATAACCCATTTGAATTTTTGCAGGTTTTATAGATCTTTCGGTGTCCGTGTTTATTCAAAATTCTGTGAATGTTTCCATTCCTTGTTATAGCTACAGATATTGTTTGTGGACATGTCATTGTTAGTATCATCTTCGTCTAGAAATGTTGATCAATGAACTTGTCATTGTCAGAAGAGGAAGAAAACCTAATGAGAACTGGAGTTATGATTTTTTGATGTTGGTGTTTGCCTTTTCAATGGGTTTCATACATTTTGTTTTCTTTTCAATGCTCGGTGCAGAAGGTTCAGGATTTATACGTGCATTGTGATTCTTCAATAGAGACAAAGGTGTAGGCCAAGCTCCAATCTCGGTTTGCCGCCTTCCTCCAGCAAATGGAAAACTTTGGCCAAATTTCAAACTTTCTTCATTTCGATAGGTAAGCTCTCTTTATTTGCAAGATAATTATAAAATTACTATGAAATTTGGAATATTAAGCAGCAACATATAACTACAGAGAGCTCAAAGACATATAATTTGAATAGTTGTTTGGTGTGTAAATAACCTTCGAGATGGAAGTTCATTAGTAAGAGTTTTTTTTTTATTATATTGAGTGCCTGCTGAAGCTTCATTAGTAAGTGTTTATTATATCGAGTCCAAATGTCTCTCTACAATCAGTTATTTTGAATTAGCAGCAAATAATTTTTTAGGCAAAAAAATGGCTTTCTAAATTTAAATTCAAGATGATCGGTGCTTGAGATGCTGAAATGTTGCCCCATAATTTCTAAAAAAAATGTGACATATAAAAAGTAATGGACGTGTTACATATATTTGTAATTATTTATCATATTATGTTAATGTGTAAATATGTACAAATATAACTATAGCAACAGTTCAATGAAATCAATATTTTATGATAGGTAAATCTTATGTTGGTACTCTAATGTGAACTTTTTATACTTATGAATCATAATTATCATTGTGTTGTTCGTGGATGAAGTATAGCAAACATGATAGTTATTATCATTGAGTTGTCACCATTGAAGTGTTGTCTTTCAATTATGGGCATCAGGGCATGGCTAAAAGAGTATTGGACATGTGGTTCATGACGACAGTGTTGGAGAAGTGTGTTTAATACCTGTTCAATGGGGATATGTTATGTCTGTGTTTCTTAAAATATTAGTATAGTGCTTTGAGTATATGGATATATAAACATATCTATAAAATTTTCAAGAAAAATTGAGGGTAGGCGCTTGCCCCTGTTTAGCTCCACTGTTGGTTTTTCAACCTCATCCAGAACCTGTTCAATTAAATATATATCCTCACATTACTCATTCTGTGCATACTACAAAAGCAGCAGGATTCGAAACCTGTTATATGTGTCAACTATGCTATAATGTCCATAAATAGATGGCTGCACAATGCCTTGAAACATTGAACAATTGATGTATTAGTTGTTTCTGCTAGTGTTGCTACCTTTTTGCTTCACTTTGCCCCTTTTCCTATTTCCCTGGCTGTTCAAGAACTGTTTAAGTGTTAATTGAAAACGAAATGTCAAACCTGATACATTGTGCTGCAATGTTGCTGTTGCAGGAGTTGCTGACTGCATGCTTCTAGACTATTCTTTATAGCACAGTGCTTGTAATGGGATCCATTTGTCTAAACATTTGCTTTTGTTTCTAACGGTGTTGTTTGAGTTCAAATCAGTACTGCATGCTTGGCTTTAGTTTACCTTAAAGAACTTTCTTTTGGTATTGATAATTAACCTATTCCATATGCCTGCCTGCTAATATGAGAATCATGGACATGGATCAGGAAACAAAGATGCAGCCCTATACTTTTTTAAGAAGACATCTCTTAAAAAAGTAGGGCATGCACACGCAGGGGACACATTACAAATACTTGTGTTTTATATAGAATTATGTAATCTGTCACTCTAAAGGGATATAATAATAGTGTAATACTATACTAGCTCCCCCCCCCCTCCCCGTAATGCACAAAATTGATATTTTGGTTCCGTTATACCATCTTCCCAAATTATGATATTTTTTAGGGAATTTAGTAAAGTTAAAAGAGGATAGATAGTATATGAAGTTGGATGAAAATATAGATGATGGGAAGTTATAGATAGGGTGGGAAGATTGATAATGTGAGAAGTTGTATGCATATAAATAATTGCTAGGAGATGAATAGTGGTTTAAGATGAAGTTACGAGAGAACATGAAATAGTGGGAGTAGTCTTGAAGTTTACTGGTGTGAGTCATGATTTGAGCAAACACATGTTTTTAAAATTTACATAAACATAAAATTTATAAATTAGGGTAAGGAATCCCAATCTCTTTCAAGAGAAGTCTGATTTCTATTATGATATAGGATAGATGAGTGAATCAATACTTGGGTTAAGTAAATCTTAAGCTTTAGACTAACAAAACATAGTCTAAATGTAATTGGTGTAATTATGTCGTGATGTTAAATGATTGAATTTGTTGGTTTATATAAACAACTGAATGACAAATTGGATTGGTGTTATAATTTCGTGTAATTATTTGGTATAAATATTTGATTTATTAGAATATATGTGTAACTATTTGGTGTATTATAGGACAATTGTAACTAATTGATATAACTGATTTGTGTAATTGTGTTGTTGTAACACTGATATAAGGAGAGAGAGAGCAAGAGTTAAGTGAGAGAAAATACGGGTAAAGAAGTAAGGGGGAGAGAGAGAGAAAAAAAATTGGAAAAAGATGAAAAAATA